ATCAGCATCATCATCATCACTGTTACTATTATAATCTTTTTATTTTGAAAATCTTGACATTTAAAAGGAAAGTGAAAGGAAAGGATTCCTTCGTTTTCAGCCAGTTGGGAAGCATGATTTGAGCAATCAACAAAGTTAAGAACTATCGATTGGGATTTATGTTCTCTATCATGATCCCCTTGAAATATCATCTCATTTAGGAACTCCTTCTTGTCAGCTGAAAAACAAAAATAAGAGAGCTTCACAGCAACAATGGTCTAAGGTTCTTTCAGCTCAGAGAGTTTTTCTTCATGGCCCGCACCGGCACCCCAGCTCAGCTATACCTAGGGCTTCCAGTCAAATCTTGGCATTGATTTACTGGGTGCTCGTGTTTTCTTACCTGTGAAATGGAGAATGAAGTAGTTGTCTTCCAGATCACTGTGCATAAGGAACTGAGCATATTACACGAACAGCTTCCAGTGCAAGTAGCAGCTCGTGGTCACAGGGAGCTCACTCTACCCTCCCCACAGTTACAGTTTGCTGAGCTCCTTACCATCCGGGCCACATGCCCAGTGTGTGCTCCAGGTGCCACATGCCTCCTTGTGGACTCTGAAGTTGACATGGCCCTTCATGTGTGTCTTCACAAGGGGTCACATCTTCCATCTGTCTTGCATCTTCTCCTCCAGTGTGAGGCAGGTGACCTTCCTGTCTGAGATGTCACCGTCTCTCTTCCTTCTTGCCAATGCTCCTCACTGTGAAGCCTGAGGTCATGGTTGACCTTCATCTGCAATCTTTTCCGGATCTTCTGGAATGGCCACAGACACCCTAGGACATCAGAGACCAAAGAGAAAGAAAGAAAGAAAGAAAGCCCGAGAAAACCTGTGCTTAAACTGAAGAGCGTTCTCACTTGTGAAGCACCAAAGTGGAGAAAAGAATAAAGAAAACTCAAAGCTCATCTGTCACTTGCTAAATGCTGCCTCTCTGGTAATTCCAAATGCCAAGGACGGTGTGTTCGGCCTTCGAGAGCCGCGGTGTTTGTCATCTCACCGCAGCCTGCTCTGCATATTACATCATTGCCGAGGGAATGGGGAAATAAATAAAGCAGCAAAACCCCACAGCCCTGACAAAGTACATCCTCGTAGCCTGCTCAGAAGAAGGTCAATAGCAGGAAGCATTTGGTGGCCTGCCACCTCTTTTCCTGTTCACCCTGAGTGAAGGGAGAGTCCGTCCTCACACTCCCACCTGGCCTCTCTGAGTCCCTCCCTGAAACATTGTTCCAGGGGAAGCTGCTTGGCCTTACCCTTGAAGCACGCTTACTGTACAGAGCCCTGCTCCCCAGCCAGGGCCAGATGGCACTGAGTCATGGCTGTTCAATATCCAAGAGCAAAGTGATGGGCAGAGCAGAACAGCGCAGGTGCTGATGAGTGGACCTTGGGGTGTCTTGGGAGCCCGGGGATGCCCCTTCCTCCCTCCAGCCGTGCCCGGGCAGCTGCTATGATGCAAACTTCTTCAGATGCTCTTTGCGATGCGCATCCTCCACCTTCACTTTCGTACTGGGTGCAGTACTCGGCTTTGGTTTGTTTGCTTGTTTGCTGTTTGTTTTGCGATCTGCTATTTAAAGTAATGGAGAGTCCACTACCTTCCCACAAAGCGTTGCTGGAACATCTTCCTAGTTCCCCTCTTCCGGACGATGGATCCATAGGAAAGCAAAAGACCATACAGTTACTGACATAGCTGGTTTTACTTTCGTGGGGGACACGGAGACTCCATTTTGGAGCCAGACTGCTCCCAAGTATCTGAAAATGTTTTCTGAACAGAACCTCATAGGTCTGTGGAAATAATCACAAACCATTCCAGATTTTCATTTCGGAAAGCAGACCCACATCCGCACCGATGGAGGTAAAGGTCTGTGAAGGTGAGCTTTATCTGATCTGATGCCATCCATCTTACTTTTAAACAAGCTGACCCATGGAAATACCAGTAAAAATTACAAAGAGTGCCTTGAAGTAGGGTTTACAGATTAATCCATAAGATTCACTGTGTATCATCTCGTTACTTACCATGGTACCCTGACTCTGTTCTTCTACTTCTGACAAATCAATTAAGCATTTATTCATTTAGTCACAGAGCAAGAAATTATCACTGGTCCATTATTTTCAAGGTTCAGTGTTCATTAATATTAAATATAATAGCAGTAATTAATAATAACGTGTAGTATCAATAGGCTTAATGTTAATAATAAATCCCATCTAAACATATCTTGGAAGTTTTGTTGAGGTTCCAAAGGACTATAAAGTTCTACAATAACGTAAAATAAGGAGGACAGAAAGAATCTATCCGCGTCTGTCACTGTCTTCTATGAATGTTGGCCTTGAGTGGTGATCAATACTCTTCCTAGAAATAGAGAAAACCGTCCCTCACTTGGTCACGGAGTCACAAAGTTGATCGCAGAAGCACCGGATTCAGCGGGCGCAGCCCTGTCACTTTTGCTAAGTTGAGAGCTGTCTCCGTCTGTACCAAAAGTCACACTCCCAGCGTTCCCCAGAAACATGTACTTGGGGTTTCCTCTTGGAGAACTTACAGAAGAGAGCCTTTGCACACATGACACGCGGCTATACAACAGAAGGCAGTTTGTGGACAAAGACTTGGCCACCGCTCCGTAATGTGTGGACGTAATAGCCACGCACGCATCTCTTATCCTCCCGCAGATGTTTCCTGAGTGAAAAGTAGATTTATTTGGAAAACAAAAGCAATTTTACAGTTTTGAGGCTGGTAAAATAAATAGGAGATGCTGACAGGAAAAGATGTTTTACTGCTTTTGTTCTGATAGAATTTGAACAAGGCAGCCCTACATTTTTGTCAGGGACAAACCCACGCGCTGTGTGCTGCTGCCACCTCGTGGCAAGGTATGATAACTGCAATCTTGTCTTTCATCCACAGACAGGCAAGGTTGGAAAACAGCTTGGTGACTTGATAGTCCTTTGGAAACCAGTACTAAGTAATGGTGGGATCTAGCTGTGGGAATGTATTCATTCTCATTATTTTTAAAACGTTTTATTAGTTCGTGTTTGCAGTACATAATGACTGCATTCGCCATGGGCAGTTAGTACACGTGCATGACGCATCTTAATTCTTTTTGCTTCTGGGTCCGTCCCTCTCTTCTTCACTCCATTTCTTGGTCCCCTTATCATTTACAAAAGACCTACCATGACCTTCTAGAGAGAGTAACATTTCCTAGCTGACTGTCTCCGGTGAAATGGTTTACTGGCTTCTTGCTGAGCACAGGGCACATCTTTCTTGAAAATATTAGGCGCCTCTGCAATCTGGAAGACCAGAGTGCCCTCAAGATTCCATCTCAGCATTCCACAGAGGGTGTGGGCCGCACACTCCCTCCACTCTGTCTTCATTCCAATAGGAAGTGTTATTTTGAGCCTTAAATTGATAGTGGAAAATGTGACTCAAAAAAGAGAACCAAGAAATAGAAGAAATATGGGTTATAGTTAAACTTGAGTAGATGATTGAAACATGGAATTTTCCCATTTATTGGAAAGGTTTCCATATAAGTTGGCTTCTTCATATGACTAGTCATACACAGAATAGGGGTTCGCAAACTTGGCACTAGGGAAGTGTTGAAAGAGGAATGTTCTCACCTTTGTGTGTTGCTCTTTTCAGAGCACTCTGGCCTTGCCCACGACACACCTGTGGGTTGTTTTTCTCCCACTGAGATACTATGGGTTGAAGCCAGGGTTCTGACACTGCGCTATATAACTACCACTTTTATTGGTATTGACATTAACTTGGTAGAGATACTTTGAAGGAATCAACTGCTACTTGATAATCAGCTAAAGTAGAAAAGGCTCATTTTCCTGGCAGTATTCTGGGCCCGAGATTTAAAAGACACACACAAGTTGGGTGTGGTGGTGAATGCCTGTAATCCCAGTACTTGGGAAGCTGAGGCAGGAGGATCAGCAAGAGTTTGTGAACAGCCTGGGCTATATAGTGAGTTCAGGGGCACTCTGAACCTAAGCGAAAGACCCTGTTTGAAACAAAATAAAACAAATCAAAACATAATAAAATACATGTACAAGGTGTGATTAGAAAGGTATATTGCCAGAGGGTCCTGAGTTCAACTGGTACCAAAAAGAAAAAAAAGGAGTATAATGCCATTAGTTCCCCTTAAAACACTCATACTTGCCTTGAACACACTTATCCCATTGTTCTTGCCACTTTCTGAAGTAATATAAGAAGCCCTCTTTTGTGAACATCTTTAGGTATAGTACTGTTGTTGTTTCAATGCCCTGAAATGATTAGAAATGTTTACGTTCTATGGTCATTTTTACTTTGGAGAAGAGCTGGAAAACACAGTGCCAGATCTAGTGAATAAGGTGGATGGGATGCACTGTAATGTTTTTACCAGTTTGCCTCTCAGTAAGTTCACTGAATAGCAACGTTCACTGTATGTCTTATTACTCCTTATAAAGACACCCGTGAAAGAGGCTTCCAGAAGTGCTTCAGACCATGGCAACAGTGATGAGATGAGCGTGTTTGGAGTGAAGGGGCATGTTTTGAGGGAAATGAATGCTGCAATGTTTTTAATTTAAACATTGACATTTATTTTGATCAAAACTGGCATCTATCCTGCTTTATTCATGCTTTGAAATTAATCAGTAGGTGCTGGGGATTTAGCTCCGTGGTTCCACCGCTTGCCTTGCAAGTGGTGCAAGGACCTGAGTTCGATCCCTGGTACCAAAAAAAAAAACAAATAAATTAATCAGTAGGAAAGAAATATTTTGCCTATGAATGCTGATTGAACCTTTAGGGTGAAGATTCGTTATCACACATTAATTAATAGTCCCCAAATATTTTTCCAATTTGGTATTATATACATAGGCATTGTTTTCAGATCCCATCCTGAAAGTTACTCTAAAGTGACATAATATTTGGTAAGCCACTTTTCCTTCTGTGTCTCAATTTTCCCCCCAATGGACAGGTTAGGCACATTCTACACATACTTCTAAGTTCACGTCACATCAGAGACAGTGGCAGTCCCTATCTGTGTATCGCTGGTGCATTCTGGGAAAATGAACAGCTGCCTCTGTTGGAAAATAAGATGAGGATGAAGTCAGTGAAATACTGTAAGAAATAGTCTAGCATATTAGGATAGTAAAGGTACAAGATCCCAGTAATGAATGTAAATGTACTGTATACCTAAAATGTACCAATAACCTCAATGAGGAAAGAAAGAAAGAAAGAAAGAAAGAAAGAAAGAAAGAAAGAAAGAAAGAAAGAAAGAAAGAAAGAGTCTAGCAAACATACCAGCCCTGGCCCTGCAAAACCTCTCTGGCTCGGACACCTGAAATGGCCTTTGGAATGGCCTCTTTTATCTACTCTCCTGTCTGTTCACTCACCACAGCATAGCTAGAATGAACTTGAAAGAAATATAAACCTGTTATCTCATCCTCAGGTGCTTCAAAGGCAATGCATAGAATTTGAGGACCGCAGTCCTTCTGTGTCTCTGTGGAGCTCCTGCCTATCCTTTCAAGCTCCTTTAATGACCTTGTGCCCCTGGTTTTCTTCACCGTCTTCACCATCTACACTTGGGTAACATATTCAGTGCATCAAGAGTTCTTCATAGCAGAGTCTTGTTCCACTCAACCCCACGGCTGGAATGTTCTTCCCCACCTGCTGGTCCCTCCAACTTCCTTTGTCAGACTGACATATAAACATTTTTAAAGGCTTGGCGTTGAAGGATTACCTTTCAGGCAGTCTTCTTGGACTTCACTACATTGTCACTTGTCCTAAGGACCTTTTTGTGTTGCGTGTGACAGAAAACTGGGCTGACAGTGGTTTCAAACATCACAGGACCATGAAGTTCAGAGACTGTCACTGCTACTTTTGGTTCGCTAACACAGTGACCCCAGTAAAGACCAAGGATCCTGCTGTCTTCTACTTTGGATCTCTTACTGTAGTGGTTTCATGTTCACCTTTCTCCCTGCGTGGTCAGATGGTAGCTGTTGTAAGCCGGAGTCATCATATCTGAGTTTAAGGTAGCAAGAGGATGGAAAGGAGAAATTGCAGTCATGGCTTCCTTTGAGGCATTTTGCAACTAGTTGGCCAATAGACTCATATGGCCACCAAGCTCCAAAGAGAGCTGAGAAAGTAGGTTTTCTGAATTCTGTGCCTCTGGAGCAGAGGCAAAAAAAGGGAAAAGGAGATTGACAAAGGTCACTGAATCTGTAACCCTGAATTGGGTGACAACACTCAGTTGATTACGGTTTTTAGCCCCTTAGCCTGACTGGACTTGTGCTTATTGATGTTGATTATAGTTGGATTTATGTGCTCAAGATCTATTTACTGAATAGACTTTTAAGCTTCCTGAAGACAGAAAAGTGTTAGGTTTATTCTATACAATATAACCAGTGGTTAATATATTATTACTGGAAACCCCTGAAACATTCCTGGAAACCTCTGCAGTAGGCTCCAGTCTCCTGCTCAGTGTACCACACAAGCTTGAGGGGGGCAAATTAAAACAAAATTGAAAAACAGAACTAAAACAGAGAAATAGGGAAGCCAAGACAACTAATGCTGGTCCTGCAGCAAAGGTGCTAGTCAGTACAATCCACTGATTTTGATTAGTAATCAATCGAGGTAAAGGTGAGCTACATGAGAAAGCGGGACTATGTGTGAAGGTGCTAGCTTGTGCAAAATAGACAAAATATATGGTCGTAATTAGAACACTGCCGTTCTAGTTAAGAAGGTTTTAGGAGTGGGAACGGAATTTGGGTGCGAGTTACTCTGATTCCAGCACATAGACTTTGGCCAGACTCAGTTCTGTAAGTAAGCTAATTGTGGGGTTTACACTCCACGGCCTGCACTGCTTACAGCCTGCTTTGGGCATAATCAATATTGCGTCTCCCACATATTATTTGTTAGAAGGCTGGGGGTTTGGCTCAGTGGTTCTGCTGCCTGCCTCACAAGTGCAAGGGCCTGAGTTTGTTCCCTGGTACCAAAAAGACATATTATTTGTTAGATTAGTAAATATCTTTGAAAGGATAAATGGAGTACAGATAATCTAAGGTTGGCCTTATGGATAATAAGATAGTACATAAAACTCCTTGCTTACAAAGTGATTTTTTCTCTCTCTTCATACTTTTAAGAAGCAAAACAAATAATTATAGAAACTTTTATGAAAATTACAAGAGAATGATTCAAAGGAAGGGCAAATGGTCTCTGATTTGGATATCAAGGGTATGAGAATATCTATGAAATAACTAGGTTTGGAATAACTTCCTTTGTGTCATCAGGAAGAACATATTCTATTTTTTTAACATTACAGAATTCAAGAAACAGTAAGTAATATAGTTTGCCTAATGCTTTCATAAGGTAAATATAAATGTAGAAGAAAGAAAAACTTGTGTTCAGCTATGTTTTAAAGAATGCAGGATGTGTGTATCAAAGATTTTCCAGTAAAAATTTGCTTCGACCTATTATGCACAGGCAGAACAATTGGGAGAAGCTTTTTTTTTTTTTATTCAGAAAAGAAAAAATGAATCTGACAATACATGATAAGAGTAGGAAATTGTGGAACTGACTTCAGAGAAATTAAATTCTCCTAGGTTTGGTAACTCCTTATCCTTCATTTTCTCAGCTGATCCCTCTTGCTTCAGCCCATGCAGTCCCTCTCTTGTTCAAAGCCACATGTTAGGAGGCATTCCCCAAACCTCCCTCTATTCCTACCTGAGACTTTTTCCCAACAACAAATTGTTTCCTATGTTGGGGATCTAAAAACCAGGTCTAAAGGAAATTTTAAGACAAGGAGTTGAAACACAATGCTTGAAGTTTTCTAGGCCAAGGAAAGGCTGGAAGACTGAATGGAGGACTTAGGTACACAGGTTCAGGAAGGTGAGAGTGCAGAAGAAAATTCACTTCACTCAAGTCTGAGCCACTCACCCATCTTTCATCCTTCCTGTAAAAGCGTTGACCTTCATGCTTCGAAATCTTGACTTCTCTATGATCTAATGAAGGACCCTGCATAATAAACACTAGTCATGAAAATCCTTTGCTGAAAACCCACCAGTGACCTTCCCTTACCCATGTACATGAGGAGAGGTCCTCTTGGGCATGGCATCTACAAGAACTCGGTCTCCTTAACCTCTCCATTCCTCTCATAACCTAGCTATACAAATGGCAAACTATTTAGCGTTTCATGCAGACCTCGATGCTTTACATTGCTGTCCAGCTGCATACACCTCTCTCTTATCCTGAGATAGTTTTTTACCTGTCTGTCTAACAAAATTACTCTTTCCTTCTTGACTTAAATAATTTCTTTCAGAAAACTTTCACAAGACCGTTTTACCCTCAAAGACTAGGCCAATGTGCTTTCTTAGCATGCTTTGCAGACCTGTGTCAGAACAAGCCTGACAGAGGTGTGGGGGAGATGTTTAAAAATGCTTTATAGTATAGAGAAGTTTAAAATGCCATGTGTGGGGAAGACCTATTTTTGCTTCAGGATATCAAAGGAAACTGGAAATAACATATAAAAATGAATTTCAGAAAGGGAATAAAAATAACATTGAGGGCACAGATAACAATAAACCCCCTACGAAGTTGAAGAAACTCTAACAGAAATAGCCAATATCAGAGATCAAACAGACTCAAGATGAAAAGAAACAGGGATCAGGAAAAATTAAATCCCTTTCTTGAAGACCTCATAGTGAGTGGGAGAAACAGAGGAGAAAGACTGGTGGCCTTGAGATTTGAGAGTGAAGAAGTAGGCGGATGCAGGAAAACTGCAATAGAGGGCCTCGTGCAGCTGTGTCAAGAGGGAGAAAAGAGGGGAAGGAGCATTCTCCACTTGGAAACTAGGCAAGGACAGAGAAGCAAGTCTTACGGTGACACCACACTTAAATACCCTATCTGGATAGGTGTGGACAGGTGGCTCAGCTCACCTGGCTGATCTCAGCTCTGAGGTCTTCAAGGCTAACAACTCTAGTTTTGACAATGACTTTTAGGAGCGAATGATTAGGGCCAATGATGGAAGAGCCATTCCCATTACGTATTATAGATGAATTGGAGCATGAACAAGGATGGAAGAAGAGATCTTCGGTCTGGAAACCTCTTAATTGACCTTAATGTTAATTACAAAAATTTTATTTGAATTTCGCTATATATGTAGCCACTAGAGGCCATGAATCACAAAACAGCAGAAAGGGGCTGTGGGTAGCCTCAAAAGATGCTAAAACAGGGAAAGAGGGACATTTAAGGAAACAGAAGGAAGGACAAGGACCTGAGTGAGCTTCGGTATCAGCGGCTTCACCCCCTAGACCTACAGGACAGATAAGGGGTGCTTCTGGGGGACAACGGTGGGGACATTTCTGTCACCAAGGTAGAGATGGATCTACACATGGGCCCATTAAGTAGACAAGCACATTACTGGAAGTTTGAGCGGGATGTAAAGAATTAGGAAACATAGTTTAGACTTATCAATGGCGAGTGAATTCTGTTCCTCCTACAGCAGCATGAGTTAGCTTAACACAAAGGGGCACAGGTATATATCGACGGTGAAATCTATGCCTTCTCACCAATACAAATACAGACGTGCAAGGGGGTCCCAGGAACATGTGAGGATATTTGCACAAAGAGGAACACATTGCGTGCAGTACTTTGTTGGGAAAAGAACAGAAGTGGCCAGCGGAACCACATATCTGAAGATTTGTCCTGTGGATGCTCTCACAAGAAAATGCTGTGCTTTGAGAGAAGTGAAATAAACAAACAAGCAGAAATTAATCTGGTGTGATACCCACGCTCCGATTAGACAAAATAAGAAAAGACCACTCCTTTCAGCAGTAGTTGAAGGGAAAAAGACAAGAAATAGGGATGAATGTTTTTATGTTTATATCAGATGAGCTAGATGCATAAATTATTTCTCTAGCTGCAGGTTTGTATGTAACATGCCTGTACATATGTCCACACTTGCCAACACACACACACACACACACACACACACACACACAAAAGACTTGAGAAAACTATGGAAAAATTGCAGAAAAGAGATGACAGAGGTATACAATTACGGAAATACAGAAATAAAAGTTAGCTGGTGAAATTTTAGAGTAAAATTTGGAAGGAAAAGAGTTGTATATTTTTTGAAGGAGGAAAAATTTCAGAACTAAGAAAGTCAACATGAGAGCTTTGGGTAGGCTCATTTGTAGGCCAGCCAGAGGCCAAGCCTGAAGAAAAAGCGAACAGGCACAGTCCGAGGTGTACTTTTTAACCCTCTGGCTGTCACTGTGAGAAGTTTTAGTAATTCAGAAAACAGCTCTTCCCCAAGCTTTACCTTCTCACACTGAGAATGAATAATCAGCAAAGATGTTCGATCTGAAACTGGTCAAGCTATTTAAAAAAGTGGAGCAAAAATTGCAGCTGTGCAGAAAATCAAAGCAAATGATTATAAGACCATATATGTATGCAGAAGTGATTTTTATATACGTATTAGTACAGAAGATTAGTTTATAATTTTCTTCTCTTTCAATCACATGAAAATGGTCTAATAATTAAATTCTTGAAATAAGTCACCAATTGGGGCTTAAGATGACTGAGAAACACAGAGTTACAAGACACAGAAAACTCTGTCTTCGTGTATCTGAAAAGCAGCTTGGTGGTGGTTAGGATTATGGAGAACAGAGTGATCAAGCTCCAGAAAGTGTGGAGAGAAATAGAGCAGGGAACTTGTCCAGAAATGCTGAAGTTTGTGATTACTGAAGAGTGCGAACATCTTATGAAAAAGTGAAGGCTAAAAAAGGAGAAGTAGTACAAACAACAAGGCTGTGAGTTGCGAAGTTCACATCGTGGGTTTATCTGTGAATATTAACGATTTTTGTTTGGCGATGGGGAAAATTCAAATGATGTGTAACATGAAAAATTTTTTTAAACGAAATGGTGTAGGAAAGGGTTTTAAAACCATAAGTCACTACTACACTGTTAGGGAATAAATAGAATTAGGTGCCCACACCGTGCCTAAGGTCTGAGTACTGCTCCATTATCTGCTCCTCCTGACGTGTGTTAAGGGGTGAAAAATCTCGTCATTGATTTTGTGGTGATTTCCGCCAAAACTGCATCTTCATAAAATGAAGTGTCTGTGCCTGCCGGCTACTCGTCGACCGGAGAATAAGGTTTTCGTAGTAATGAAACGAAGTTTTCCTAGTGAAAACTAATTTTTCCTAGGTAGGTATTTGGCAAGCCTATTTCTCCCCTTTTGCTCTTGTTTCCTTTGGTCACAAAGCTGGACATTTTCAACTGAATTCAAGTGTTTATAAAAACACGCACGCATTTAGCGAAAGGATTCTGTAAGATTTCGACCCGAATAGCAAAGCGATGCCCGCCCTCCTCCCCTCCCCCCACTTCTCCTGACTTCAGTCCTGAGGCAGCTCCTTCTGCCTGTCCGTGCTGTTGCTTCTGTTCTTTGTCCCTAAGTGGAATTATGTGGCTCTACCTCAGGTTTTAAGGGTTACACAGTTTCTATGAGATAATCATAAACCCAGAGGAGCGGAAGCAGGAAGTCGATGCTCTGCCCACGAGGGCGCCCCCTCGCTGACCACACCTGCACAGTCTCCTCGTCCCGTCACCTCAGTACCATCTGTCCTGTCCCACGGTGGGTCAGATCGCCATGCGATATTCCCTGCACCGTGGCCACAAAATTCTGTAAGGTGCCATGATTGTTTGCTGTCCGGAGCAGCCTTCGTTCCTTGATCGGCAATATCTCACTTTGTTGTTCTAAAGATCCCCTAAGTAGTCCCCGAGCGCCCTTTCCGGGTCTCCTTAATCATGGCCGCGCCTGTCCCAGTGTCTCAGACACACAGTTCGTGTTCTGGTTTCATTTCAAGGCCCTCTGTGCTCCCCTCCTTCCTGAGTCTCACCTGAAAGGGCTGAAAACTGCTGTTCCAGGGAACCCTCTGTGACCCCGATGACAGTCTGCCCTGGATCGTGCTCTTGTTTTTTAGAACTCATTAAAGCAAAACGTGCTATTGTTTATTCATGCAGTATGTATTTCAGCAGCATTTGTTATGAAGCAAATAACATTTTAGGAATGAAGGACACATGAGGACTAAAGTAGATGACCCTAGCCACTCTCGTTTGTGTGGGTGGAGGTCTTCAGATGAAATACGGAGTTCTAGGCTACATTGTCATTTCAGATAAGCAGCAAATACTTCTGAGCATCTATATATTCTAAATATTGCAAGGTATATACTTAGACTAAGAAAGTGTATGTTTTTATAAGAAAGTCAAATTTAACCGGATATCCCACATGTGAAATCTGGCAATCCTGCTTATGCATGATTAGACTGCAGAAATAAAAATACGTACAATAGGTAAATAAAGAGCCTGGGAGAAGGTGACACAGGCCACAATGGGGTGAGGAAGGACAAGTGGTCGTTGGTAGGTGTACAGGGAGTGCCAGGAGGGACTGCGATTTTAACAGTGGTTGAAGTAAGCCTCATCAGGACGATGAAATGTTGACAAGGTCAGGGAGAAATAAGGAGTTAGGTCTGTAACTCTGTGGAGGAAATGGTTCCCAAAGCAAGGCACAGCATGCACGGAATGCTGGAGTGCCCCGAGAGTGTGAGAAATGGCACGGGGACCACCAGAGTGTCTGAGGGTACAGTGGGTGACACTGACCAGGGGAACAAGGCAAGCCCAGACCATGCGGTTTACTCCCAGGGAGACAGGGAGAGGAAAGATCCGACAGAGGGATGCCGGGAGGGCCTGTTTTCACAACACTCCTCCGGTCGCTTTGTTAAGAAGATACTGAGGGGCAAGGATAGAAGCCTGAAGACTAACTGGAAAGTTATAATGGAAATCCAGGGAAGAGGCAGGGGCTGGGGAGCTGGGGGGACAGATTGGAACCCGGAGGCAGTTGTCTTCTAACTTTCTCCGGAGAGAGACTTATTTTTTTCCCCTCATTGCGTGTATTGGTACATTCTAGGTGTACAGCACAGTTACATTCATTATTGGGATTCTGTACCTTTACATGACAGGTCTTGGTTCTCATTTTTTCCCCTTGTCTCTGCCCTCCCTTCACTCCCTCCTACCCTCCTCATTTACAAACACTTTTTTCCATTTTTTCATTTTCTCATATTTTTTCCTTTTCCCTTATTACCTTTCCCTTACCCTTCCCACTTTCCCTACCCCTTTAGTCCCTTTCATCCTATTTCACATTGTCCATTATATCATTAGGATCTTATGTACCGTTATAGTTTATTCACACCAGAGAAACTATTTGGTATTTACACATGTGTGACTTATTTATTTCATTTAGGAGTATATCCTCAATATGTATCCATTTTCCTATGAATGAATCTAACTTATCATTCTTTATGGCTGAGTAGTATTCCATTTTATAGAAAACCACATCTTCTTTATCCAGTTTCCAAGTGATGAGCAAATGGGCTGTTTCCAAGTTTTAGCAATTACAAACTGTGCCGCTATAAACATAGGTGTGGATATATCATTGTAATATGATTCTTTTAATTCTTTTGGAAAGATACCCAGCAAATGGAACCTCTAGTCCCAGCTCTTTGAGGTATCTCCATATTGGTTTCCATAGTGGTTTCACCAGTCTGCACTCCCACCAACAATGGAGAAGGGTTCCTTTCTCCCCATAACCCTGCCAACATTTGTTATTGAGTGATTTCTTGATAGCAGCCATTCTTTGTGGGGTGAGGTGGAATCACAGTGTTGTTTTCATCTGCATCTCTCGAATGACCAGTGATGTGGAACATTTTTTCATATATTCACTTGCTGCTTTTACTTCTTTGTCTGAGAAATGTCTGTTCATTTCAGATGCCCATTTTTGAATCTGCTCCTTATATTTGGGGGGGGTAATTGTTTTGAGTTCTTTATATATTCTAAATAATAGTCCTTTGTCTGAGGAGCAGCTGGTGAGTTCTGTTGATGGTTTCTTTTGCAGTGCAGAAGCTTTTCAATAAGATGAGATCCCAGTTGTTGATCTTTCCGCTAGTTCCCATGCTACTGAGGATTTGTTCATAAAGTCTTTTCCTATGCCAATGTTTTTAAGAGTTCTGCCTAACTTATCTTCCATCAAGTTTAGTGTTTCTGTTTCAATATTTAGATCTTTAATCAACTTGGATTTTAATTTAGTTCATGGTGAAAGACAAGGGTCTAGTTTTAATCATTGGCAGGTTGAGATCCAGTTCTTCCAACACCATTTATTAAAGAGGCTATCTTTCCTCCAGTGGGGATGGTCAGCTCCTCTGTCCAACATGAGGTAGCTGAGTGAATCTGGAGTTGTTTTTGTCTTCCAGTCTGTTCCCCTGATCCTCAGGTCTGTTTCTTTGCCATTACTATGCTGTTTCTATCACAGTGGCTTTGTAGTATAGTTTCCAATTGGGAATTGTTATACCCACTGCCATATCTCTGTTGCCTAGGATGGCTTTTGCTATTCTAGGTCTCTTATGGTTCCAAATGAATTTTTGGATTCTTTCTAGTTCTGTGAAGTATAGTGTTGGGATTTCAGTTGGCATTGCATTGACTCTGTATAGCAGTTTTGGTAGTATGACCATTTTCACTATGTTGATTCTTCCTACCCAGGAGCAGGGGATACCTTTCCATATTCTTATATCCTCTTCTATCTCTTTTTTCAGAGTGCTGTAGTTTTCAGTGTAGAGATCTTTCGCTTCTTTTGTTAGATTGATTCCTAGATATTTCATTTTTTTTTTAAATTTTTGGATGCTATTGTGAAGGGAATTTTTTCCCTAATTTCTTGGAGAGAGACTTTTAAAGGAGGAGTTCTTTCCCATGTGAACCATCATCTGAGTTCTGCAATGATCATTATGCATTAGCTTTACCTTCTGTCTGTGCGTCTTCTCATTCTTTGTCCAGTAACATCCCAGTCTAAAATAACTCTGATTCTGTTTCTGCAGAGATAAAACCTCACCTTCCTGTGATGATGAAATAGTCACTGCTGATAGAGGAAATCTACTGCAGGTTGTGGGGTAGAAGAGGGACAGTAATTTTGAGCAGTGGAATAAACCTGACACTAATTTTTATCTTCTTATCCTTGTTTGCAGCTACAGTTTTTTCCTCATCTAATGGAAGTATCTGATGGCTCTTATACCTAACTTTTCTATGGTTTCCAGACTCCATGTGGCAAGCTTAGTTTGGACAGTTTTTATTTCAGACTTTTAGCTCCTCCTCCTCTCACACACACCCTTAGCTTCAGCTCATTTATTTTCTGTCTTTAAAAACATGTTTTTAGATCTTTTTGTCTGTCATTTCATTCTCCATTTCCCTTGGCTCTGGGGCTTGACAGTATTTTATTTATTACATTTCATTTGATTGGGGCTTTGGAAAGAAGGAGACTTGTGTTTTCAAATATTTTTTCCAGTTTAATGAGCTAAGGGCTTTTAGAAATATTTAAATTTTCACTTTCAGTGAATCTAGAAATGTGCTGCATTAAAGTCATTGGCAGAGTAATAATTATTCAAAATGTCTGGATTACAGGCTCTGTTTGCCTCAACACCCAGCTCTCCCTGAATAGATTTGATATCTTTGCTGTGGATGGACTCTCCTTTCACTCTGGTACGGACCAGCTATAAATCCTGCTTCTCGGCAGGCCTTCTCCTCCAAGCACTGGAGCTTTCCACCTTATTGCCTTCACTATGCAGACTGTTTCATAAAATATTGATTATGACTTTTCTTCCCTGCCTGAAATGGTGCCACACACTTCTAATTTGATCCCAGACCAGCCTTCTAAATTCCATTTGGTGCAGAGGTGGGGCCCTGGAGACCTTGCATAATCAGTGACTGAGAGCCTGCCGGGCTGGCATCAGGAGCTGCAGCACAGATTTGCTAGCAGATACAAATGCGATATTTTGCCCACCCTTCCATGTTGCCGGTATCCACTCTTCTCAGGTTTTCTCCCAGAAAGAAGGTGCTCGAGTTTTGTCCCTACTGTGAGCCTCAGGAGTTAGCTTTTCCTCCCAGAAGGAAGTGACCGCAGTAGACTAGGAGTTATTTTCTCTCTAGCACCGGAGGTCAGAAGGTGTCTGACTCAAGGGCCTCTTCGAGTTGGGGGAATGACTCACCATTTAGGGCACTATAGTAATTCACCCCTCAGAGACGGGCTTGGAAATCATGTTCCTCCTGATGGATGATTTAATGCTCAAGGCAGTGAGTCACTCAAATCACTCAGAAGACTGCGCTGTACGTCCTTTTGCCACCCACCAGACAATAGGGACCCAGTGGCACCGCCGGGCCAAGCTGCTGTGTGGGTGTGATAGGAAACTGAAATGAAAGAAGAGGAAGTGCTTTTCACACCCCCGGTGTCTTCACAAAGGTTCGTTTTGCAATGTGGCCAAGCACTCTGGCTGCACCTCTTTTCTACATGTTTTTATGTGTGAAACAGTGAGGTTCTGATTCAAATAAATTGTTCACACACTGTGATAAGGCACCTTCTTTGTTCTAGTTTGGGGTACATTCAGGGCACCGTAGCCATCGATCTGAGCAGCACAAAATGGTAGCATTGTGTTCTTTAAAAGTAGAGATGCTGTCGTGAAGACCCTGGCCACAAGTCTGACAAATAGAAAGCCATGACGAAGGTGTACAGCCTTTCAGGGGTGACAGGCGTTGCCTTTGAATTCTGAGAGACCCTGCCTCAAGCCAAAACTTTGTTTCTTCCCACCGGTGTAATCATGGAACTTTAC